TTTTATTCACCTCAAAGTTGTAAACTCCCATATTTATAGAGTAGGAATTAAACAATAGAGTTACATGAATTGGTTCTATGAGGGTTAAAACATTGATGTTATAGAGGTTATAGTTTTGATAGTATAGGGGTTATGGACATCCGCACTAATGGATACTCCAACCGTCCTAGGATTATTTTGTCTAAGAAAAAGTCAATTTTTTTATAAATTTTGACCAAGAATTATTCAAATTATATATAAGTTTATATATAAGTTTAAGACATTATATTTGTATCGATAGATTTGAAATTGCCTCTGAAGTGGTAATTATTCTTTAGCAAATGACAACATATATTAAGAGAAATTAATGGTCAAAATATATTTTATTTGACTTTTCCTTTATAAAAATATGCTTATCATTACGGGACGAAGGGAGTGATTCATAGCACTCCCGTTTTGATGTCCATTAATTAATTGGTAAATATGCTGAATAATAGTTGGACTGATCATATCTCTCCTATCAATTCAAAAGGGAAGAAACCCACCAATTTATTATGTTGTGAGCCACTATAGGCGAGGTGACACTAAACCACGAGCAGGAAGACATGATCTAGTGGCATGGACGGCTAACGGTACCTATTCCACTAAAGTGCATACCTCATCCAGTTTAAGGAAAGTATCACAAGGATGAAAATTAGCCCCATATGGAGTGCAAGAGCGAAGCTGTAATACCCTAAATTCACTTTTGCAGTTAAATTATTTTTTGCCTTAGCTCAATTAGATAACTCAAGGGGTTAGGTTGGGGAAAATCAATTTTTAATACAACTATAAAATTAGTTATATGTCAAACATGTTTATTGCATTCATGCCGTTATATTTATTATTTATGTATGTTTAGTTTAACGTGTGTGAATTTTTTTTCTGTTTCGTAGAAACAGTTGTAATGCTTTCTAAATTTCAGTCTTTGGAAAATGATTTTTTTCTGCTAAACAAAGGAAAGGGTTGGTTTTGTTTTGTACTGCACTAAACTTTCTCTCTCTCTTTTTTGAGGAACACTAAACTTTATCCTGGCCTGATTCAACGTCCCTCCGGCCAAGCCCATTTCTCTTGTTCCTTTCCCGCGCCTTCTGGTGGGCTCGGGCGATCGGCCCACGTGGCCACCTGCTCGGGCCCTGCAGCTGGTGGTCCGAGCCCGTCCTTGCCCTCGTCCGAGCAATCCACAATCACCTTAACTACGTAATTGCATGCATGCGCTATAACTTAAGCAACATAAAAGGTTCCGTATTGTACTATTATTATCTTTGTTACCAAGGGTTTATGCAAGGGTAGTAGATGCTTAGATGTTGTAACTATTATTTATGATATTAGAGGATACCCCACGTGTTGCTCTAGGTATTGCGAAGAATTTAAAATGAAATTAAGTGGACATGACATGGATAACTTAAAAGTTTGGAAGCTAGTGAGATGATATGGCTATAAGTGGGAGATGATGTGAATAGTTGCTGGAAGATGACGAGGATGGCTTGGATGTTGAGCAGTGCCAGCCCTAGGAGGAGGGCATGAGGTGCGACGGCCGAGGGCCCATGCCAGAGAGGGGCCCAAGTCTAGGTATACAAACCCCTTAGGCATCATCAACAAACTAATGGGAAGACAAAAGATAGGCAGAGAATTGGCCAGGCCGCCCAAGAAGACAACGTTGGTCTTTCTTTCCAAAGCAGAGAGGAGGCAAGGAACCACGACGCACACTCTGATCACGACTCATGGGTTCGCGACGCGCCGACGCGTGGAGAGCTGGACTGCCAGAGAATGGCGCACGACGACGGCGACCGGGCAAGGCTCCACGACGACGACATCTTGGTTCCTGCCTCCTTGCGAATTGCATTCGCCGATCAGTTGTTTCAATTCATGTCCATGTCCTAGGTATTTTTTTCTTGTTCATTTTTAATCCAAATTAATTATTTGTATAGTATTCCAGACTTCTAGTATTTTGTACTCATATAGTTATGGTTTTCTTCTAATTTAGGTGTTAGATTAAAAATATATTATTGTATTATTTTCGTTTTGCAAGTAAAATTAGCGTATATATATTATAAGATTTTAGAGGAGCCATGTTGACGAGTTCGCCAGAGGACCCTCAAGATCATAGAACCGGCACTGATGTTGAGATAGAACTTGTGGTGGCGATTAGCTTTATAAAAGATATCTATACCCCTAAAAAATCACCAAGCTTATCGTCTGCATGCCCCGCTCCTAATAATTACATGAAGAGTTAGACGGATTACCGTGCCTACGTTGCGGTCTTGCGGGCAGAACGGCGAAAGGCAGAATTAGAACGTCTTCTCTTGCATTTTTGGGCCAGGCTTTTATTAGCAATAATAAAGAATTAAAGTAGTATACGCATGCCAGGGCAGGGCCCGTTCGATTTTGGGGCTTGGAGCGACGGCCCGCTCACCCCCACCTCCTCCAGGGCCAACACTAAAATAACCAGAGAAAAGTGACGGCAAGAATAGATCTGAAAATAATTTGAAATTTCCAATACAAAATCATTTATTAGATTTTTATTATTTTCAAGAAATAATAAAATCAGATTAAACTTGTATAAAATCAATAATAGATCATATACGTATTCAAAAAGTGGAACAATTTTTTTTAGGTTCCTATAAGATAGATCTAATATGTAACTAGATTTGAAGATTTCCTAAAATGTTCATCTACAAGCCACGTGCGTCCCATAGGCGCGAGAACAAAACTCATGGCCCCGTGCAATGCACAGGCATATATCTAGTAAATATAAATATGATATTCTTTGTATACTATTGAATTAGTGATGACTTATAATGGTTTAACTAGAATATGAAGTGACCACCGAAGAAAATAATGTAGCTACAAGACTACATGGGCTATGATCTTAGCTAAGTAATTAGATTTCTCTTATTTGTTACCGAAAGATGCAAGAGGAGGTTGTTATGCATTGGTACTCAGCTTAATTAGCTTGGTATTCTTCACCCCACGGACTTAATAGAGGGCCTTTGAAAAGGTCTCCTAGTGAAACCATGTCCTACACCTTAAAAGTGTGATATGAGAGTAATTAACCCTGTAAAACAAGAATGCGCAACCTTTACATAATGTTAAAAAATGTTACAACAACGATGCTCACGGTTAAGAACGGCCTAGACCCTCGCATACTAATTGAACTTGAATTGTTAATATTCTCTATGCCTATGTTTATGCATTCTTTACTTTGTTTTCTTTAATTTACTTACATAATTTTGTTAAAGACCATGTATCAACATACTCTCTTCGTCCATAAAAGAATAAAATTCTAACACGTACACTACCAAATTAAAGTACCTTGAGTTCGATTAACTATAAATAAAAAATATCAACATTTATAATCTCAAATAAGTATTATTAGATTTGCCATCAGACATATTTTTATACTACATTTATTTGGTTTTATAAACATTAATATTTTATATATGTATATTTGATCAAACTATAGGTATGTTAACAAAAAATATACCTATAATTGCATTTTTTTTGGACAGTGATAGTACTTTATTAGTCAACGTGTTGCTAATAAAATATGCCAACTAAAATCTTACGGTGTTCTAACCAGAGTCAACTATTTTCTTGTTTTAAGACTATTTATATCATTTATTCCAATGCTTGTTGGGTACGATGGTATACACATTTTTTTTATTTGACAAAATTTTGGATGGGTATTTCAGCACTTTTTCTTTTCTTTTTTTGACAAAAGAAAAATTATATTAGATAATAGCTAGGTACATCAACACGTTACAAGCACTATATAAATATTCAGAAACTGATTTTCATCTAAATTGTACCCACAATGTGAATAGCTCCAGATCTCAAAACCAAACATGTACGACGTGTTGCAGTACGGATGACCGCACAGGCAAACACTCGGCAAAAAGTCTGAGAACAGATGCCCAATGAACGACGGTCAACATTTATGTAGGCAGAGTTGAGAAACGTAATTCTTCTTTCTGGTGTCTTCCTTCTTCTTCTTTCTGCCACCGAAGAATGAGAAAGACTTATCTGAAACTTATTCTTCATAATCCTTCATCGTGGCCACGTAATAAAACGGAGAAGAAAAGGGCGGAGAAAATTATTCCACGGTGGTGATACCATCTCCGTCGTCCAAAAATAAAAGTCTCTATGTCGTCAAAACGGTGAGGATGCTGACGCCATAGTTGTCGCCTTCATCTTCAACAGAGCCGACATAGAGAAAACGATTTCACTCTGCCATCTCGTCGTCGCCGGAGAGGAGGAGGAGGAAATAAATTCCCAAAACCAAGAAACTTGGCATGGAGAGATATAACCCTAAAGACTCGATCTATTAGGAAAACTTATTAACAACGATGGATCCCCATTTCCTCCGGACTCTGGCGATATACCGGAGGAGGGAGAGAGGGAGTGGGACCATCGGTGATGGAGGCGGGCGGCGGCAACGGCGGCGCTCCGAGTTGCAAGAGGCCCGTGGGTCTGGTGCCCTTATTTCAGCACATTTCCTTGCAACCTATATGACTCAGCGTTCTTGATCAAGGAAGATATTCAATTCTTCAAGCTGGTTCGCTCCCAAAATGCATCGCATGAAAGGGATTAGGAGTAGTTACAGGTCATAGGTGTTACAGTGCAGTTCTTACCTTTGTTGGACGGTTGTCCAGGAGCTGTGACTATTGTCAATTGATTGCGAGTCTCCTAGCATGCAGCAGCTGAAATTGTAATTAAGGGAAGAGGAGAAAAGTTAAGGCGATGAAGGAAAAGATGGCAGCAGTCCTTTTACACGCTCTCGATCAGTCCCAAGTTTTTTTTCTTCCATCTGTCTCACATTTTTCACGAACAAATTGGAAGACAAGAATTAGACAAAAATCCAACAAATGAATCTCTCTGAACTGAACGCCGCTGCCTAAACAAATTCAAGAGCTAGAGAACAATAGCTTTCTCAGTCTGCACGAACCCGCTAAACGATGATAACACACACTGTTCCTCTAGAATTACAAAGTGAGATCCAGACTCACGTTCTCTCTGTTCTCAGCAGCACCTGCCCGGCGGCGTTCATGCTGCGACGAGGTGGATGACGAGGAGGAAGAACGCGAGCCTCCCTGTCCTGCTGCTGCGACTTTCCCTCTTCTTGCTCCTCCTGCCATTGCCTCCTCGTCACGTCCGCCCAAGGACAGCGGCGCGGGCCGCTCTTGGCGCACCAGTGGCGCGGCGGCCACGGTAACGGCCGGGACCCGCCAGAGAGCGGCAGCCGGCACGGGGCTGCCGTTGATGGGCTGCGACAGGGAGCCGACCCCGCCGTAGTATCTGGGCACCACCACCGGCTGAGGAGCAGCCTGCGTGGGATGGCTGTTGGACCACGAGAGGTAGTGCGGCGGCGGTCCCGGCGGGGGCTCGTACCGCGGCATGCCGAAGCGGTGGTGGTAGCTAGCAGTGAAGGCGGGGTACGCGTGGGGGTAGCCAGGGTAGTGGGCGTGATGCATGGCCATCGCGCTCTGGTACTGCGCGCGCTTCGCGTGCTGCCGCTCCCGCTTGTGCGCGTTCTGGTGCCCGCCCAACGCCTGCGACGTCGGGAAGTTCCGGCAGCAGTAGTGGCACTCGAACTTGCGCCCTCCGCCGCCGCTGCCGTCGCCTGCACCTGCACCGGCACCGGCACCCGGCACCGCCGCCTGCCCCGCTGCGGTGGCGCTGCTGGTTGCGGAGGAGGACGTGGCGGCGTCGGGTGGGACCTCGAAGCCGAACAGCCGGATCGACGAGGGACTGGACGAGGACGCCGCGGGCTGCGGAGGCTTGGGGCGGACGAATGGGAGCTGTGAGAAGGACTCGATGGCCGTGTCCGGCGGGCTGCCCCCGACGTGCTGCCCCCCGCCTTGCTCGCTCATTGCCAATTTGCCGTCCCAAGAGCGCGAGATGCGCGCTTAGGGTAAGGGATCGGATGTGTAGGGAAGCAACAAGGAAGACCTACAGCTAGCCTACGGCGGATCCAGGAGCTTTCTCTCGCCTTGGCCTGCTGCCCCTGCTGCTGTTGCGTTTATGGTGATATGTTGGCATGGAGCGAGAGCGGGCTGCTGCTGCTGCTCTGATGTATTGGGTGCCGGTACGTGTTCCCTGCTAAAAAGGGTTAAATTCGGTGGGTACGGACGGGACCAGTTTAGGGTAAGGGTTGGGGGGTTCACAGGGGAAGTGTTCAATTCGATGCTTGTTCAGATTTGTTGACTCATCATTCTTTCCGTGGGCATTCCTTTTAAAGTATAAATAAATGAAATTCTAGATCTTGGTAATTTCTCTCTGTGCAGCTACCTCAATCTGCAACAACTCATATTCCAAAAGGATGCTAGGCCTTGTTCACTTTGTAAATTTTTTCAACCCGATGAATAGTACCACTTTCGTCTTATTTGGCAAATATTGTCCAATCGTATACCAACTAGGCTCAAAAGATTCATCTCGTGATTTCCAACTAAACCGTGTAATTAGTTATTTTTTTTACCTACATTTAATACTCTATGCAAGCGGCTAAAAATTGATGTGATGGAGAGAGAGTGAAAAAACTTAGAATTTGGATGTCATCTAAACAAGGCCCTAGTGGTGGCCGCCTTGCATGTGAGAGTCGCTATGGCACACCACCCTACCCTTTTTCACCCTCCCTTCTCCCACCTTCATATAGCTCACCCATTGTTGGATACAACTAGGTTCTAGCCTTCTAGGATGACATCTTTATTTTTCTTCATCTACTCAGCTCATTTTCATCTTGCATATGATATTTCTTTTTTTATGAATTACACGGTACAACTAAAACACTCACAACCGCACGCACACTCACCCCTGTGAAGCACGCATGGAAACACTACCCCTATGAGCATCTTCGAAGTCGGCAAAATCTTCGAGATTAACGAAGTCATCATAGACACCTCGCTATCAACGGGGATGTCGCATACTACTGGAAGCACAACACCGTTAAATCCTTCGCTCCCATGGAGAGACAAACCCAAGACCTGAGGTGCTACTGATGTTTTTGTAACCATTAGACTACATGCCCTTTCGCTTGTGATATTTCTTAATGACTAATGAGAACACCATCAAAACCTCAAACAAGCCATTATCATCACTACCCATCACTCCTCCCTACCTTTAATCTCAAAGCCAAAGTAACTAGAAGCCTTGATTTGAACTATATCATCATGACTAAAAGAAGTCTCACAAGTTGTAGTACAAATCTCAAGGGACAACTTATAGCAACTTAAGATGGAAAATTTGACCAATTATCTTATAGCAACTTAATGACTCATGTACTCCCTTGGTCCGTCATCATGATTTTTATCTTTCGTCTTTCATCAAGTTTTATGTATACTTCGTCTTTAAAAATTTGTAAGTCAAAATTTTATTATTTGACCAAAAATATGATTCTATACAGATTGAGTTGCAACACAAAAAGTGATGTTTATATTATTTACATATGAATCAAAGTACAAGATAACATAGAAAGAAGCATTGTGAGGGAGGGACATGGTGGTTAGCTCTAGAGCATAGGGGTAGCTCAAGGTACATGAGAGGGGGGAGGATATAGCTAACTCGGTAAGCGCGTGTGGTGATAGAGGTGTTCATCGTTGAAGCAAAAGCAAATGAACTGTGGTGGCTGATTGTTGGAGATTGGAGAATGATGATAGTGGCATGTTTCTTTGCAGATGTAGGGCAGAGCCGGATCCAAGAGTCCTCGCCCGTGGTGTCTGTAATTGATGCAGGATGGCAGGGTCTTAGAACACAGTAGGTGAAGAACGAGATCGCTAGGAAGGGATCGGGGAGGATTCCACAATTTGTGAGAGGAGTCGCCAGGTGTGAAGCAAAGAGGAAAGCAGGGGAGCTCCTGCATTTTTTGGAGAGGCTGGGATCTATAGTGTGCCTGTATTGGTCCTATGTCCTCCGCTGATCCTACTACCGCCTTCGGGCTATCTCGCTTGACATGCCGAATTTGTCACTGAAGCTTGGATGAAGTTGTGTTAATCTCTAAGTGGTCACTATTTTTTTTAACTTTGTGTGCCAATTCAGAACTCTGTGCTCTTTTTTTGTTGCAAATATAATTCCAAGGGGTGGCTAGAAAAAAACAAGGAGCCTTATGATATAACTAAGTGTATCTATTATAAGGAATATTGAATATATTGTATGTTTAGTTTACAAAATAAAGTTTTTTATAGATTTACAGATATAGAATAAAAAATTTCTATAAAAATGAATGCAATGGATAATAAGAAAAATACAAAAAAGGAAATAAAAAGGAGAACTAATAAAATAAAATAGTTTATTTTCTTTTCCATCCTCATTGCCTTTCTATCCTTCTAATCAAACTTGTTTCATACATTTTTTAGTCCCGCTAGTTTTAACACACATTTTTTTATCTCTATGTCGTTTTATCATTTGATTTTTCTTTACTTTTTAAAATTTCACTGTTATATTTTTCTTGCAAATCACAATACAGATGCAGACACTCATATATGCACAAACACTTACTCCTATAGTTTATGCACTCTTTGTTTTCTGAAGAAAATGCTAATTAATCTAGGTATCTAATAAAATTAAGATTTTAATCTTGATCTACTTAAAAAACTAAATGCTAGTGGGAATAAGATTATCACAACCAGTTTTGTATGTAAACTGCATGTGGAAATAAGATTATTATTATTATATACGGATTGTTATGTCAACTATTATGGGAATGGTTTAATTATTAAAGACGACAGGTACCGCCTGTGATAATTAATTTCTACGGAAGGGGTCGGGGTACTCGAGGGGCCTACCCATATCGGAGCAGTGGAACCCCTATGGAGCTCCCATAAATTTTTAGGTAAAATTCTATATTGTAGAGAGGGTTGAGACTTAAGATCTAACAGCAGTTGTTCAGCCCCCTGAAATATTTCATGGATCCGCCGCTGATTGGAACAGGGATGGAAAATGAACGAAAAGCACACGTTCCCATTCAAATAGAGACACGCTTTAAATTCCATATTCGTCTGGTCCACTTTTGCTCTGTAGGTGAATGGCCCAGGAAGGTTCTCTGGGAAATTTGTAGAAGCTCTGAATTCGCGTATACATCCCAGAATCGGAGTTGATTTCGCTATTTCCAGGTTTTTTTTTGGCAAAACAAAGAAGAAAGAACCGGAGCCGCCTCTGTGATTCCAAAAGAGGCATGGTTCACACGAAGAATTTGACGGTCGATCCGCTCGTCCCGCGGCTGGCTGCATGCGCTCGCATTGGCTGGAGGGCAGGACCGGGTGCACGACACCGTCAGGTGTCCGAGTCGCGTCGCTGTCCGCGAGGCCGACTCGTCCGCACCCTCGCCGTCGCCCAGGATACCCCGATCCCGGGCGACGTGGACGGCACGGCATCGCCGGCCGGGTCGCTCGCGCTCGGCATTTCACTTTCAGTAACTCGGAGTAACCAGCCTTAAGAATTCTTCGATCAGAGGAGTGATGGCCTCGTACCATATACGTTCTGATGAGCTTTTATCAATATATACTGATAGGTTTATAAACCCGGGGTCTTTTATGGACCGGCTTTCCAGCAAATGTTTGGGCCAGCACACGACGTTGCGTAAATTCCTGGGCCGGCCTAAATAACTAAACGACAGGCCAGAAGGACGATCCAATCTCCGACTGGAAGGCCTGGCCGAGGAGGAATGGAGCCCGCTTCCGACTCCGGCCCGCCTCTCCGACCAGAAGGCCTCGATAAAGAGGAACAGCTCTCGCTTCCGACTCCGGTCCGCCTTCGGCCTGTCTCTCCGACCGGAAGGTCTGGCCAAACACTACTTCCAACTCCCGACCCGTGTCTCCGACCAGGGATGCATCGAACCCTTGCTTACAGCTCTTCTCCGACTGGCGCAGTCGGAGCCGACTGGACCAACCAACCGGGGACGCCCGCTCAGTGAGGACCAGAAAACGGACGGAGAAAGTAAGGCAGGGCACTCAAGTCAACCGCAATACCAAGGACCGTACCCTGTACACCTGCAGTACAGTACCAACAGGGCATGTCAGAAGGGTACCCTGCAACCTTCCTGGCATATCAGAACCCAAGCAGTGTTGTGGGCGTCGACATTTGCCCTACAGTGTTGTGGGTTCCATCAACTCCCATACCAGACAAACATGGTAAGGCTCCCCCCACATGCCTCTTGGCATCAACAATGTCGTGGGCGTCGTCATTTATCATACATGGTAAATACGGGTAAAACCTCCCATATGCATCTGACAACAACATTGTTGTGGGCGTCTACCATCATCTTGTACCCGACGACGTGAGCAACAAGACTTAGTAGCATACGTACTCTCTCTCTCTTGTAAGGCCGTCTCCTTCATCTATAAAAGGGATGCACTCTCTACCAACACGGGATCCATCAGTTCACTTACATCGATTCGCCATCTGCTAGCTTCAAACACTCTAAAGCTACACAGAGCGCACGCTTGAACACTTAACACATAGCGGAGCTCCTTTCACTCTTGGCCCTTCAGACCAGAGTCCGGCCGGACCTCTTGCACCCCCATCTTACTCCCTTCCGTTTGTAACCCCGCAACAAACTTCGAGCACCTCGTGCGGGGGCCCTTGCGCTCGCACAAGAGCACGGCGAGGAGCTACGACAACGGCGGTAGAACCAGCCGCCACCTGCGTCGGCGCTCTCGATGCAGCATGTTGCGGCCCATGAGTGGAACCCGGCGAGCGGCGCTCGGGGTCACGCCCGTCAGGTTCAGTGCAACATCGTTGACGGGGAGAACGATCCCCCACAGTTCGCTTGGGCTGGCCAGAACATCGCCGCGGCGGTGATGCTTGTGCGTGGCCTTCCCAAGCCGGACAACCCCCAGGAACAGGCGATCAACTAGAACCTCCGGGCACTGGTGGAGAC